TTATTTTAAAAAAACTGTTCGAGCGATGAATCGCATATTCAATTTTCTTAGTTGCCCGCAACTCGAGATACTCGATTCCGATTTCGGTTTTGTTTCGGTTACGGTTTCTGTTTCAGTTTAATTTGCGTGCGCCTGAGCAATTAAGTTAGACAACCAATCACGGGATCAGAGTTTTCATATTTTAGAAGGCATACATATGTATGGGTGTACACTGTACATACATATGTATTTGTTAATAGGAACACAATGCCAGGGGCCCTGCTGCATTGGTTGATTGGTTATTTTAAAAACTGAAATGAGAAATTTCAGCTGTCACCGCCACTGGATGTCAGGCGATCTTCGTACTCCACACAACGTCTGGATCCATTTACAATTGGATTTCCTTGTGATTGCGGCCACACTATTTTGCATACACATACATACACACATACACACGCTTTTCAATTTGCTAGAATAAGGCAATTTTCGGTGGCAGTGCAAATCGCAAAATTGCAACTGCCAAATCGCTTTGCGTGCAGTCGCCAGTGTGGGGCCTACGAGTGCCTACATACATACATACGTACATACATACGTGTCTACGTAATGTATAGATATGCATTGGAGTTTTGTTTTGTGGCGAACTTCGGTGCTCAGTGGCTTAATTGGCGATTGTGTCGAGCGACCAAGTCCAAGTATGTCCAATGGTTTAACTAATAATTGTAATTAATTATCACAGCCGCCCAATCGCACATTTGTCTGCTGCTGCTGCTGCTGCTGCTGCTGGTGATGTTGGTTAGAGGTTGTTGGTTGTTGGTTGTTGGTTGTTGGTGGTTGTTGCTCGCAGTTATATCGATGACTTGTTTCCTTTCCTTTGTTTCCGTCTTGTACGTCCTCTTGTTGCCTATTTTCTCTTTGGCCACTGATTTATCAATTGCACGCTTAGGCGTTCACCATTGCCAACGTTAGCAATTATTGTCTTGGTCATTTTCGAATTTTCGTTCGCTTTTGAAAAATTGCTTCCGTTCATTGTCGTCGCCTGCAAAACATTCAAGTAACGCAGGTTTAGCCACTTTTATGGTGTTTTTGTTATTGTTGCAAATGGTTTTATTAGCACAACATTAAATGGACACCAGATACTATATATGTACATATGTATGCACTCTCGTATGAATGTATGGATGTATGTGCATACATTAGTTGCATTTATTTACAATTCCAAGTGCAATTAAATAGCGTAATTGCTCTGCAATAAACTAAAGGACAGCTTACTGTGTGATGTTTGATTTGAAGTGCGAACAAGCAACGAAAATTAGTTGCAAACATAGGTGTATGTATGCATGGGCGTAGACAGGTAGGGGCAGAGGGGTGCTCGAGCCCCCCCTAACTTTCAAATTTTCCTTATATATCTATAAAATAGTGCCCTGAAATGCCAGCTTAATGGGGTCGAGCCCCCTCCCCCCCTAAATTTCATTCTGGCTACGCCGATGTATGTATGTACATGCATATGTACATATGGACGTGTATACCTTTCAATCAGGCCCCGTAAACCAAAAAGCTACGAAGAGACGCCACCTCTTCGGTGAGCTACTTTTCAGCTTAGAACTGTTCATGTGGGTGATAATGGTAAGATGGTAGTTCTGTTTGTGCGGCGGGTCCTGCTTTTGGTCTAGAGCAGATTTTTCGACTCGTTTTGCCAGGTTTCGTCATGTTAGAAACCTCTTTTTTTAATCTGCGTGCGGAAATAGGTACTTTTTTTCAAATCCACTTTTATAAAAATTTCTACATACCGCCGGCTGTTATAGGTGAATTTACTTCAGGAATAAACATTTAAGGGCTATTTTCAGCTCTCAAGAAAAATCACAAGAAATTTTTTTCTTAGGCTTAGAAAATAGAATTTTGTAGATTTATGATTTTTTGAGTGACTATTTTTGACGCGATTTCAAAGATCGAATAAGATCTATGAAGAGTATATTAAAATGGTTTATAAAAATTTATTGTCGGACTAGGCTTGTTGGGATTTTTTATCGGGTAATTTTTTTAAATTTTGATCATCGATAAATTCCACAATTTCAAAATATGTAGTACTATCAAAAATTGAATCTATTTTTAAATAAACTCATAGCTCATTTATTGCAATCGCATAAAAATTGTGTCGAAGTTAGGCGACTTTTCTTAAATACGGCCTTGAATTTATATTGTGTGTATGTACCGTACTTTCAGATTTTTTGAGTTCATCAATATTTGTTCAAAATTGATATATACAATCGCTCTTTAGCAAAAAAGGGGGTTTTGCAGAAAGTTTAGGAAAATAGGGATGGCACCGCCCACTTACATACATATATGATACATATACATGCGTATCTCAAAAACTACTTAACCGATCTCGACCAAATTTGATATACACATTTTGCTTAGCCTCCTTAAGTACCGTATTGAATATTTTTGAAATTGGACAAAACCTACTCCTCCTAAAATATTGCTAGCTTTGAGCTTTTTGAAATTACCGTTACGTTGGTGGACCCGTGGTTTTTGTCCGATTTCAAAAATTTTCAAATTTGGCTGAGATCGGTCGAGTAGTTTTTGAGATACGCATATATGGTATATGTGGGCGATGCCACCCCCATATCGATGGTCAAAATAAAAAATCCCAACAAGCCTAGCCCGTCGATAGATTATTTACCACTTTAAAGGCCAACATATCCTCTTCGCAGATAATATTCGATCTTCGAAATCGAATCAAAAATAGTCATTCAAAAACACGTAAATCTACAAAATTCTATTTTCTGACATAAATTGAAAGGTCGCGACCTTTAAAAAATCTATAATAATAGGCAATAATATTTCTCATAAAACGAATAAAATTAGGGGGTAGGGTCTTGAAATTTCCAAAAAAAACTTTTTCGATGGACACCCTAATGTACATATGTATGTATATGCAATCGTAAATTTTAAATTTCAAAATTTATTATTTAATTGTTTCAGCACATAACGCTAGATCTGAGGTACCAAACAAAATTCACTGAAGTGTGTCAGATTTGGCATTAGCGCGCTATGTAGCACAGGGGGCTATTGTTATTTTAATTTCTATTGTGGCCGACCTTCTCCATGTACATTCGTTTATAAAATTAAATGGCTAACTTTGCGCTCTATTTCTTTTCTGCATAACAGTCCTACTTCGGTTAATTTACATTGATGCATATGTGCATACATATGTACATACCATATTTACATAAATAAATACAAACATAATTTTCACAGAAAAGCAAAAAAAAAAGATTAAATTAAATACATATCTACATACATATATATGTACATAACAAACACTTTATTTGAAGTTTCATTACATACATATTTATATCTATACAGAGGAAAACCTTAAAACGTACAGTATGGGCCTTTCTACCCGCGCAGCTCATTAAAATGCACAATTGTATAATTACCTTCCTCTATAGCTGACGTAGATAATAGCGGTAATAAATTTATTTACGAGATAAAAAGCTGAGTTTTTGTCGCGACGTATAGCAAATACATTAATTTGGGCAGCTAGATATATGTATGTATGTATGGGTCTCAAGCATTCGGTCCCAATTTCTACCCAAATATGTAGTCTACGACTGCATAGGAGTACATACATACATAGTTCCATATTATGCAGCGGACATACATATTTTCTTAGCATAGTTTTAAGGTTCATTTGTATTTAAATTCATTTATGTATATCAGCGGTGGGTTAACTTAAATACTTCTGTGGGATGACGGAAAATCCTTCCACATGCATCATACTCCTACTCTTTCGAAAACACCAACAGGTAGGTAGTATTTAAAGTACTTGTTTCGATACTAAATAACTAAATACTTAGTATTTACATAGATATGCCTAAGCACTAAAGTAAAAACGATTTTTAATTATGTAAATATTTAGTAGAGGACTAATTATTACACGATTTAAGGCCGCCTCACACTGGCCCGTTGCGGTACAATTTCGTACGATACATGAGTCGGTACATATATATACAAAATGGCCTAAGTTCACAGACGAAATTTTTCCAGTTTTTTGTTGCAATTCATACACACTGACCGGCCTAGTAAATAGTTTAAAGTAAAGCAATGTAGTAGGTTAGTTCGGTAAGGTGGCAGCCCCGTGTAACCGGATCTCACTTAGACAATTAAAGCAATGTTACTAATTGATGTCGATAATATTAATAAAAAGACATTTAATATTAACGATATATATATTCAAAGGTGACTAAGTCCTAGCGTAAGTTTAAATGAAAATATTTAAATCAAAATTGCTTATGATTATGAATTTTTGCTTCAAAAGTAACTACTAGTCCATATGGATTTTTCAAACGTAAAGACTTCTTTATTTCAAATATGGATTAACTTTCCATTCGGTTGTTTTCTTCGCAAAATACTTCCAAGTTTTATTACTTAGTAAGTCGTAAGTATCTACCATCTACATAAAATACTTGAAATTGAATTGAAAATATTTTGGTATTATCTAAAAGATAAATTATTATTATACTTTTGCATTTAGTATTTTCAAAGATCAAACTCTCAAATATTTGTGTAATTAAGTACCTACTTAGTATTTCACAAAATGTTACCCATCACTGATATTATACATACATACATAAGTGCTACGCGTCTGTGTGTGTGTTAAACATAGAATCAAACAAAGTTTAGACTGCAAGTGTTTTTTAGTTATTTCTAATTGATGCTCAATTTGTTATCGCTCATTATTCCTAGCTGAGAACCGGCAGCAGGCGATAAGAAATGCCGCTTAACCTGCTCGCCCTTTCGGTCCACCACTTTTAAATAAATATCTAAGTTATACACTTGATTTTCGCACACACACAATGGTCACTCGCAACTCCTCAATTTCCCATGCCGATTCGCTGATAGGGCGATACGCTCTCCCGCTCACTTGATAGTCAGACTGCGATTTTATCGCAACTCTCTTTTTTGTTGTTGATTTTTCGACTGATCGACTGATTCTTTGTGTGTAATTTTGCTTTCAGGGTAAACTCTCGCATGAATCAATCAAACAGCTGGTACTTGAGGCAGAGCATTTAGTACGTGACGCCGAAGCGTTGAAGACGCCGAGCAAGCAGAAACAGAAGCATTCCGTCATCAAATTATCGTCAACGGTGAAAAAACGAGAGGTGATCATGCCAGGCCCGATCAAACAACGTGTCCAAGTAAGTGGTGCCGCAAACATTTCCCAATTTCTCTATTTAATCACGCGATTTTCTTTTCACAAGGAATGGCTGGAGCACCAACCATCAACGCCTACCCAATTGCACAGAAATCCCACAGATGAGTTGCATAGCAGCACAAATGCAAAAGCAGGCGATGACTGTGAAGCTTCGGGAGAAGCATCGGAGACAGACTCCGTTCCGCAACCTGGCTCGGATACATCCGAGGGGCTCACTGATTCCATAGCTACCTGCATGCAGACGAGCACAAACTCTTTTGGTGGCAATTCCACTGAATGCTTCGGAGGTTCTACAGAACCTATACTCAGTCCAACGACTGTACTGGGCTACGGAAGCAGTAATCAGAGCTTGAACGTAAAGATTGTTAAGCGGGCACAGACACGCCGCAAATCGGAACGACCGTGGTCGGTGTCGTGTTTGTCGCAACTGACCACCGACACAGTGCAAACGGCGACAGCTGTGGCGACAGTAAGCAACGTACAGACCGGCCTCGCCACTCACTCGATTAGTGAGTCGGCGCTGGACTCTCTATCGCCTGGCCGCCAACGCGCCTCCTCCTCGTCCACCACCAATGTTACCCAAGTAAAAGCGTGCAATAGTAAGGGTTCATTGAAACGGCGCAAAACGCGCAAAAAGAAAATGTCCATTGGTGCGAATATTGGACTAGTTACACCAAACGCACATTCTGCTGGGCACAAAACGCCTGACTCCGGGTCGGAGCACACCGCCGAGGTGCCACGCCTCGCCCAAACGCTACTCATGAAGTCGTGTGAATCCATGTCGGCTCAACAAATTCGCGAGATAACGAACGCGCTATTGAGCCTGCAACGCGGTAGTGGCACAATGTCAAACGAGGGCGCCATGGGCGGCAGCAGCGGTGCCACGCAACACTCATTGGGACAGCCACAGCAGCAGCAGTACGAAATTCAGCATCAGCAGCAGAACGATAGTGGCGGGGAGGCTCAATTAATGAAGCCCAACTTCCGCGTGGGCTCCTATACCACGGCGTACATGCGCAACGAGAAACGGTTGGGCTCGTTAGCGGCTTTGGCCACATACATGAATGACGAAGAAGAAGAACAGCAAGGAGGTTAGTACGGCTGCGTTGGTTGGCTTTACTTGCCTACATACATATTCGCTACGCAGTGTCAATGTTCTAAAGTTGGTTTTGTTGCACTAAAATTATTTTACGAATAGCTTTGATATCATTTTTCTCACTTATCGAATGCAATTATTTCTAACACTGCAATGTCTTTTGTGTTCTAAGCTGCCACACCAGTGCCCCAGAAGCACCGAGGTATCTACACCCTTTGTAGAAATTAGAATTTTTGCCTTTGTGCGAGTAATCGACTAAAAAAATTTGTATGTGTACGTATGTATATGCGTATGGCCACAGGCATAAGTTGTATCTATATATATGCACATATGTATGTATATTAGGGCGGGTCAGTTTGTATCAGAGAATTTTCAGACGATGCGCGTATATCATAGAAGAATTCTACGTGTAATTCTAAACAAATTTGCCGAAGAAACCATGGGTCTAAAATCAATTTTGAGTTTGTCAAATTGCGTAAATAGGTTTCTTAGCATTTTGCTGTAGCAGTGTTACCGCTGAAAATTTTTCGAAAGTCGCAAAAAAGTGTCAGCCGAAAAAAAGTGTCTTCAAGTCATTCAAATCGTTTATATTTACCATGTATGTAAAGACGTATCATTATTTTACCTTTCGAAACTCAGTAGGGTATATTCATAGTCGAAATAAAATCGACTCTAACATTAGTATTAGCTTTTTTCAACGGAAAATCTGCCAAAAAACTGCTTAGAGTAAACTTTATTTCATCTATGACTATTCGCCCAAAATTTTTAATAAATTGTCAAAAATAGTTTTTTCTCTTAAAATAATAACATATTGATGAAGGATATATTAAAAAGACGCAATATGCATATTTTGCATTTAAAAAACAAAATTGCAGTTAAAAATTACTTACATCTTAAATAAATAATAAATTTAACACAAATAAAGTAAGGGAAATGCTAAGCTACAAAAACGGTGCATTAATTCATGCTATTTCTGGACATATATTCGAAAAATATTTGACATAATAAAGAGATTGAAATCAGTCCAAATCTGGCCAGAGGTGTAATTTTTAAATGCCTTTGAAAAGTAAATACTAAAAGCATTTTAAAAACGTAAGAAAAATATAATTTACGAAGGAATTGTCAAAATATGCAGATAGAATTTTAAATCAAAGAAAAGGGCAAAACGCGCATGATTTTTTGGAAAAGTGTCAAAATAAGCCTATTTTTAAAAGGTCGGTGTCAAGGGGCATCGATCTCTAAAAAGTGTCAATTTGACACTTTAGTCGCACAACGGTAACACTGTGCTGTAGTGTCGTTAAAAAGTGCTTACATTTTGTATAAAAACATGCTATAAGGGGTTACTGCATTTATCTTTTTCTTCAAATTTCCACCAGAGTGTTGCAACAGTGAAAGTTTTCTTCCAAACCTATTTTCGCAATTTGGCAGACTCCAAACTGATTTTTGGCCCATTATCTCTTCGGCAAATTTGCTTAGAATTACACGTAGAATTCTCCCTTGCTATTCGCGCATAGTAAAACCAAACAAAACAAAAAAATAAAATAAAATAAGATAAAAATTACCGCCCTAATGTATATCCTATACATATTTATTTAAGAATATAGATTTCCACATGCAAGTGGCTATGGGTAATATGTATACACACATATATATGTATGCTTAAATTTATTTTAATATACATATGAGTTCTATATGTTTGTTTCTAACAAAAACAAAACTTAAAAAGAGCCCAATTAATTTGAATTTCATATTCCAATACAGATTACACCACCGGCACTGACGATCACCACAGCAGTTTCTCGGAAACGGCCTGGGACAACTATCAAGAGAAATATAACTCGGAGAACTACTCTGAGGGATTTGATTCGGATGCAGCCAGAAGGCTTATGGAATTTGGTGATGATTATCGGTAAGTATTTAAAGTATGAGGGCTCATCGTGAAAGCTTGCAGCTTCGGATCTTCAAATGCAAAGCAAAATATCGCTCGCGAAATAGATGTAGATCTCTTCAAAGCCTTCTTGGCATGGTGCAATTATGATCGTGAAGAACTTTAGGTGGCAAAAATTTCGAGCAACAACTGTCTGCATATATTATGTCCCTACAATTGGCCACAAATATGAAAATAAACTAAAAATAAATTTTGCTCTGCTAGAAATTTCATCGATTCGCAGTCAGACTGCTGTTCTTCGCTGTCAGCTGCCAACAACGTAGATTCACTATCGCCGCCACGTATGGACTCGTTGCAACAAACGGACACGAAAACTATCACACAAGACACAATCGCCAACAGTGTAGACCATGCCAGACGTCGCCGTGCACTTGACTTGGAATACGAAAGAAGACGCAAAACATTAGAGGTTCGTCGCAAATCATGCCAAGGTAAGCACAAAGCTTCTGCCCATAGAATTCGTTCATTAATTATATATTGCTAATCATTATTATTCACATTAAAGACTCATCTGAGGTACAGAACGCACGCGGTTCCTCCCTGTCCTTGTCAGCTTCTTCGGCCAATGTTGTTACTCCCAAAGGTGGCATTGAGAAATTGAATCAGCAACAGAAATGCGACTCGGCCAGTCGCAAATTGGAATTTGGCATGAGTCATTCAGCACAGTCCTTGCGTCGCACATCGGAAAGTGACACATCAACTCGTCGTCGTAAAGTGGATGACCGTCGTCGCTCTTCCCGCAACGTGGATAAATGCATCAAAGTGATCCCGGCCACTTCCTCATCCAGTTGTGATGACTCTGACGATGAAAAGGAAATGCGCAATTTACTGCAACAAAGCCGCAATCGTTTGGAAGACACTGGCGCATTGAAAATACGCTGCCACCTTTTGCGCCCTGAGGACTACGTAAGTTGATTATCCGATTTGTGCCTATTAGCTCACAGCCATCACAGGCAATGTATCCATGAATGTGTAATCGTTTACTTTCAATTCCAGACGGAGATCATCAGCACTTGCCGTGACAATATACGTTGTCTGGAGGCCGTACTCCGTGGTCCGCCTGGCACGGTGCTCTCTGCACAGTGTGCCGGCCAGACTAAAGGTGAGTTGGCTATTTGTATTCACCTCGATTGCAAGTGTGCGCCCATTACACGATTCATAGCGCGGACAATAGACTTTTTATCGGACGTTAGTAATATGCTGATGTACTTTACGCTTTATCGCTTTCTTGTAAGCACGCTAAAGAGTCTTGTACTCATTAGCCAACTGTAGCGTGCCATTTTTCAAAAGATTTTTTTAAATAACAAAAAACATCGCCCGCCAGCAGCGCACCTCTATTACATCTTTAGAATTGTGAATACTTTGTGACCTTATGGTTTTTAAAACTAAACAAATGTATTATTTTTACATTCCCACGCATGTATACATTCTTCATATATACATATTATGTAAGTTGCTATAATCGGTATTGTTTTTGCAGTATTGCATAAGTAAAAATACATAGATTTGTTAGAGAGGCGAGCCAATATGATTTACAAATATGAGTTTTAACTGTTATGCATTTGACAAGCATATTACGAATTTATCAAACTTTATATCATACTATCTTTTATTTTCTACCAATAAAGATGTTAAATATTTTGAAAACTGATTATTTCACGCGTTTGATTTTTATGTTCGTATGTAGTTTTGTTTTCTAGTTAGATTATTACTTTACTCGTTTAGTTTAATCTGTAGTGCTTGTTTCATTTTCCATGTGTATTGTCAAATGTACAACTAGTAAATTAGCTCATTACTTATCTGCATACTATTAGAACTTACATATATGTATGTACCAAAATACTAAAGAACTAAACTAACTCAAAAAGCTATGATAGGGTAAAGGGCACACACCTGTACTTCTTATATACTTATGTAAATATGTCTTGTAGTTTTAACTGTTTTGAACAAATTAACGACAACAAAAACTGAACAGAAACTAATATTTTTAGTTAATTGATTTAACTAACACTTGAATTGACTTTGGTGTAATAGATAACTGTAAACACTCAGATATGAGTCCATCTAATATCTGTAACTTCAACTGTTTAACTTCCTCGAGTGAGTAATCAACATTTTTATCAGTTCAAAGAATACAACGACTCATCAATATCAATTGTTTACACTGCGCTGCGCCATCGGTTTGGCCTCAAAAGAGTCCGTTGCCAGAACGGGTGGTGATTGTGTGCGCATTGAATAAAGGGGATATATTTTGTAATTTGTGGTGTAAAATGCAAAAAGGTGCAAATTTGTTTAAGATAAAGGAAAAAAGTATAGTAAGAACTTAAATTGTCTTAAATTATGCTATCAACAATATATTACATGTCATCGTTTAAAGTACAAAACCGCGTACGTCGTTCTGCAAAACCGCGTAACTGACATTAGCTTGCTAAAAATTGGATTTACTCACCGAAGTGTTTTTACTCTCTACAAAATAGTTTATGTAGCAACTTTACAACGAGGTTTTGCATTATCTTGATACGCGGTTTTGTACTTTAAACGACGATATGCACTTGCCCCCTTTATAGCTGCGCGCTTGTTATTGCGCTGGGAATATATGTATTTTTATTTTTAAAGAATGACGTAACTAATTAAATACAAAAACAGCACTTCAGTTTAATTTATTGGCAAATTCTGGCAACTGCTGTTTCACTGTTGAGTTCATAAACAAATATGCAAGCGAAGGGTGTCTGTTTTTTTTTTAATTTAAATTTCTTATTCCAACTCCATTGCGCAATTGTATAAGCAAAAAGTGGAAAGCAGCGGTAAACAAAATACTATAATTGGCAAAAATATTTGTATGATGTTTGTAGAAACAGCGGCCTTCCATCGCACTTCTTTCTGCTCTTTTGTATTTTTTGTTGTGTTAATAGAATTTTAGTTTTCATCCGTTTAATGCCAGGCGCCTATACAACTATGAAGTATATGCGTTCATACGTAAATACTTATATATGTACAAATATACAAAATTACATGTAGGCTTTATACACATCCATATATGTATATATTGTATGTATGTATGTCATAAATAAAAGCTTAACAGTGGCAATAAGTAAAGCTTCGAAAGCAATTTCCATTAAACTGTCCAATAAAATAAATTACCAAAGCTGGCATATTATATTAGGGTGGTCTGAAAGTTTACTCATTATTTTACATAAAGAAATTTTAAGCTTAAGATTTTACGATGGTTAACACGTCTTGTAAATCCCCTAAATATGTTTCAATCGGCAAACTCTATGTCTCTTCCGAAGACTTCTAGAATAATTCCCATTTAATTTTTGGGGTTTTTGTGGGACCCATAAAAAAGATTAATATTGAAAAAAATATTTAATATTAATAATAATAATAGATTGGTGCTTACACATATGTTAGCGTTTGGCCGAGATTTCCTCTGACTTGTGGCGTGCGTCTTTATGTTGTCACACAAAGCGGAGGGACCTACAGTTTTACGCCGACTCCGAACGGCGATTGTATTTTTGTGAGCAGCTATTCCCATGGCAGATATACCCTCAGAGGTTTGTAATTGCCCGCTGAGTGGCGACCGCTATTAGAAAAAAAAATATTTTTTATTTTTGATGTTCGGAAACTGGGCTTGAACCCAGGGCCTTCACAGTGGTAGCGCGCATTAAGTGTTGGGTATTATTCCTTAAAGTCTCCTGCCTATTGAAGAATATATATTTTCAATGATTCTATACCGTTTCTACGAAAAATTGTTTTTGAACGCTTTAAGCGACCTCTAAATATTTTTAAATAAAAAACAAGGGTAGTTTTTTTTTTGACCACCCTAATGTATATACATATACATTTTTATTTATGAGATTGCGATGTCATTTTAATACAAAAGAGAAAACTCGCTCCTTTGCTTGGATAAGAGAACTCTTTCTCTTTTGTCTAGAAGCTCTTCGCTTTTTGGCGCTAGCCACAAAAGCTCCATTTAATGTTATTTAGCAGTGCGTTAAACTACAGTTCACATATATACATACATAGGTTTGTTATTGTGTTAGCACTGTAGGTTTATGTTGTAAATGTTATGTTCAGGGGCATGTGAATATGTCTATTTGTTTACTTACAATACATACATACATACATATAATAAGTGCTTACCGTTGTTTTGCAAGACTACCTACAAGCAGTATATTTATATCATACCCCTATACAAAGTTTGCTATTCTCAGGCCATGAAATTAGTACTTTCCTCTGTGTCATCAGAATCTATAAAGTCAAATTATTATGCTACCAAAAAAAGGAATGGTAATTTTCCTTGTCAGCAATGCTGTAGGAGTTAAGTTGATTTCTAATAGTTAGTTCACTAGCTGAAGTTATTGTTTAAGTTTGGGGGGCAACTGCTGCGCAACAGCTCTGCCGCGTGAGTAACCGAAATCGTTGAGAATGGTGTAGAAGCACTTTGCTTGCTGTGCGACCCAATTCCGTCAGTGTGTGCTACTCATGTTAGCAAAG